ACTTTTTTACTTTGTGTTGCAATATTTATATACTAAATAGAAACATTTCATATACGTATATATTTTACATATTATTAACATATTTAAAGAAAATAGTATGCTTTATTATAAAGATCTTTAATTCTATAAAATTTTTATATTAATGCTAATTCATACACAACGCATGGCTTAGATAACTGTTACATGAATAAAGTACCAACCTACATAAATGTTCCATGACTGCGCAAAGGCGTCGTCTGTATAGAGGGTATTAGGTGCATAGTCCACCACGCGTCCCCACTGCGGATTGGCGGACTTCACATATCTTGAAAATATTTTTTTATTATTTCGCAAATATTTTCCTTTACAGCTGAGCACGTGATAAGTCAACACTTAAATTTATTTTACGAAAATACACGTCAAAGTGTTAACTTAATAAGACTTGAACTGAGGTGTTCCGAGTATATCGAATTAAGAGCGAGCACCAGGACACTGAGTTAACACGGTTCTTGAATAATTAACAGCAATTATGTCGTTCGGATAACAATTTCACAATTTAATTTTCACATGTGCACATATGGTTTGAAAATGCCTTCTTAGAACGGGCTATAACAACATTTGAGGCGTATAATTAAGTTTTACTTTTCGTTAAAATTGCATAGGCAATGTTATAAAATTTTAAACAATGGTTGAAGTTTCATTTGTTAAATTTTATACAAGCACTTAATACCAAACGTATATGTGCACGAAATAGGAACATAAAAAAAGAAATATTACTTACCTTAAATCGCCACTTTAATGGGACGGCGCATAGACGTAACTAAATGCTAGAATTTACGATGCACTGAAAGAGAGGCATTAGCGAGAACTGAAGGCTTATTCAGGATCCTTGCTTGTGTTATACAAAATAATGTCTATATAAAATCTACTTATTCTTAATATCAATCATCATCATATATATCAGGAATCATCGCTCAATACATTTAAACGTGTCCAAAGAGAATTATGTATTTAATTTTTTTAGAGAATTATGTATTTAATTTTTTAAATAACATTATCTCATTTATAACAGCAAACACGGTACACTGTAGTGTAGACGCATTTTATGCATAACATAAAATAACTAAAAAAAATTTTAAAACAGACTTATCTAAAACTCTCTTGATTGAACCTAATTCTAATTTTATAACTTTTAATGGGTGATGGTACAAACAAGCAAGCAGTTTACCGTCTGATATGTCATTACCGATGGGCCGGCCATATAGCTCGTAGAACCGATAATCGTTGGGGAAGAAAGGTTCTCGAGTGGCAGCCTCGTACTGGCCATTGGCCACTGAGTGTAGGACGACCCCCCACTAGATGGAGTGACGACCTGTGCAAATGTGCGGGAAGTCGATGGATGCAGGTGGCTCAGGATCGTACTTCGTGGCAGTCTTTGGGGGAGGCCTATGTTCAGCAGTGGACTCAAACAGGCATAAATGATGATGATGATGATGATGTCATTACCATCACCCTTTAATATCTAATACATAGACATGCTTTGCACGGGATGACCCTTCCGTTTTTGCTTAATCTTCTTATTCTTTCTCCTTTACCTTGCCGTTATGCCACATTAGTCACAACATGTCCTTTCCATCCACTTTCCTCTATCAGCCGTCGTCTCAATACTCATACCTTTCAAAGACATATCATTCTTCACACAGTCCATCCAATCCTTCTCGGACTTCCGCTACCTTTAAACCCTCCAACTACATTCATACTAGTCAATTCCTTTTCGTCAATCATCGAGTATAAATACAGAAGTAGAAACTTTACTTTACTCCCCGACTACAGAAAATATTTTTTATACGTCTTTAATTTAAAATGGATTAATTTAAACAAATGTTCCAAAATACTATTAGAAATCAATAGGAATTTGAATGCTACAATGTGCAGAAATCATTTTTGGCTTATTTTTAAACTGTATATGAAGTTATTTGTGAAAAATTATAACAATAAAACAGCTATTATTACGATGAAAGCTTTTAACAAAACGATAATCACTTGATTGGCACAAACGCCAGATGGCGTATATCTAAAGTTTATGGGTTCTTTCACTTAATATTCCACTTTCGGAACGTTTCCCGAAAATTGGCTAATTATCCCTCTGCGCCCTTACTAAATAACCTCAATATTACTTTTTTTAAATTAGATCAACCGTTCCTTTTTATGGGACAATTTAGCAGACAACTTTAAGTGATTAGCCTTACATACCCGTGACGTTATTGTTGCATTGTCAATCATACAGAGAGTAGGCCCCAATTACGTCACTAACAGGATAAAACCCAAAATTATAAATACGTAGAATTTGCGTTGCTCTTCTGTAAAGCCATTAGCTTAGCTTAGTTATTCTCTGGACGAGCATGTGCATTCTTGTAAAAGCAGTAGCTGTTGCGTGCTGCCTAAGGAAATATTGCAAAATGTTTATCTGCAGGAAGTAATGTTATTTACTTGACGTGACTCGTTGGGTAAGTTGCTAAGTTATTGCCTATGGGACCGGGGCTCGTGGTTTTGATTCCCACACGAGACAAATAGTTCCGTGGCCCAAAGAAAGTTATTTCAATTCTAGGTGTTTGTACCCAAGAAAAGTTGACGTCAGGTAAGCGGCACTCTTACTCTCAAACCTAGCCTAGTTTTATATACTTACAACATAATTCACCCCAGCTGTGTCGGTGTCAACCCCACCTAAGTGGAAAAAGAACAGGAGGTCGAAATATTATTTACTTGTGAATTTCCGTTCATACCAAATGGAAATTTAACCCCTAACTAAACTAGATTTTTAACAAATATACACATTTTCCCGACTTATATGTAAATGGAATGACAATAGAAAATGAAATTCGAGAAATACACATCTCTTTTAGTTTTACACAATCAACGTGTAAATCTAATTTTGTGATTGCTTCTAAGCGGCTTAAAGATGTCAGCATAGATAGAAAAAAAATTATTGGTGTTGACCTCGGTGTGAAAATATTCTCTCTAAGCATCCTCATTCCAGTACATCATAAATCCTGTTGTAAACATAACTGACATAAAATACACCAATACTCGATACGGCTTTTTCGTCTGTAGGGCAATATTCGGAACCAATAAATTCTCTTTTGGCTGACGAACGTAATTTTTCCACATTTCTTAATTTCTCAGTGGATCGATAAAACACAAAATACAAAAAATAAAACAACTTATAAATTACAGAAAAACTTATTAAAATAAGCAATAAGTATTTCTTTAACCAAAAATAGGCAATTTGGATAGTCTGCAAACTATGAAATTACTTTATCGTTGCGGTACATATTTTAAATTATTATGCACGTTCGTCAATTCCTTCACTTTTTAAGGCTTTGATAGTTTCTTTGAATGACGTCCGTGGGTAGAAGACCCATGAACTCAGTACACAGCAAGCTGCTTCGATATCGGAACCTGTGGTGAGGTGAGTGTACAGTGAGAGTAATCACGTTGTTAAATTTTTTCCTAAAAATAGTACTAAGTCATAATTTCTTCAATTGTAGGTACATCAAGTAAGTAATCGGACGGAAAGACGGACGCCATCAGGTTGTTCCATTCCATAGCTGTACGGATGATAAATGACGAAGCGAATCGCTTTGTTCTTGTGCGTGGAACGTCGACAGCATAAGGGTGGAGCGCCGCCGAACACCTAGTTATCCCGATGATGGAAAGTGAAAATGGAAATGGCAGGGCAGGAACAGTCTTCGCTGTTGCATTAATGGGCAGGTCCGTTCGGGGAAGTACAACAACCTTACAGAAGACCAGCGTGAAGTGGATATCTTATACTTCTGCGTTTTGTCTGCTGAATGAGGTAATCGGGCCCCACTTTATAAAAAGGTGGTAACCCATTTACAATCACATGGGTGTTGCAAATGTCCATGGGCAGCGGTTATCACTTAACATCATGTGAACCACCAGCTCGCTTGTCATCAGTTCTTCATCGCGCAACCGCAAGCGTCGATAAAACTTTAAAATACACATTCAAGTTGGTTGATTTGAAATTACGCAACCTATGTACGTACTAGATGACCCCAACAGTACATTAACGCGCGTGATAAATAATTTGATTCTTCCGCCGTCACCCGACAAGGCGTTGTCTCTAGGACGACGCGAGATGCATAAGTTCGTTTAATCATAACGTCGTAAATCCTTATTAATTCCAAAACTTTTTATTGAAGATATTGAAGAGTCGAGAGAGAGAGATTAGATACTTCTTTAGGCGCGTTATGAAAAAATGATGAGAGTGAAATTTTAAGATACGCGCGCATCACTGTAACACAAAAGTCACATCTTTGAAGCTGCCCGCTAATTTTTATAGTTCTCATTAAAGAATGTAGATGGCGCTTTCATAATTTTGCTCTACTTTTGAACTTTTGTATACATAAGTATTTTATATCTATAGAAACTCGAGTTCACTTTTTTTCCAAGGTCATTTTTTGAAACGATGCTTTGATTTTATTATTCAACTTGATTTTCTTTTGTTACGCCAAAGAAGTATAACTTCTTACGTGCGTACATCAGTACACACAAACTTTTTATTATTTATATCCTATTCCATATTTTTTATTATTTTATTGTAATTAATTATTAATGATGCCAAAGAAGTATAACTTCTCACGCGCGTACACACACCCATTATTTAACGGTACACACACCCATTATTTTTTTCTATTTTTTCAAAAATCTATTGTTTCCGTGAATTGATTATTATAACAACTACACAAATATTGTTTTGCCTGAATGTTAACGCCCTGTGTTGTCATAAAAATATATTTATTTAGGTGTCAAAAAGAAAGTTGTGTGTTGACAAGCCTAAAGTTTTATTAATCTCCAATGTTTATAGTTTTTGTTTTATAATATTGTTACAATAACCTTACTACCTTTATTTTAACATGAAATTGAAAGATATTTTATTGTTATTGAAAAATCATTTTCATATAAGTTTAAAATGAAAGTAGAGACAAACATATTTTACAATGTTTAGTTACGATGTCAAGTTTTTAACTTCCGACGATTTATTGTACTTAAAAAGTGGTGACTTAAAAAGTTTTAAGTGAGTAACTATTTGCCTTATACCGAACTTCAATTAACCGTGTCATTTAAAAATGCTTTTTTTTAAGATATGAAACAAAAAAACGCGTCGAAGAAACGGTATACGAAGCAGGAAAGAGAAATTATTGTGAACGCCGCGGTGGTTACTGGCGAATACCGAAATCTAGTCAACTCCGTCAATTGGAGTCCACTTTGCGTGATCGCATTATCGTGACCTGTGAATGGACAAACGAATCGTTTGCTACATTAATATTTTCCTCAGGTGTTATTGCATATATTACCATCAAACCCGATACATTGGATGTTACACGGATCCTTTTTGATAAATACTGTATAGGAAAACTTTCAGGTCAATGTGTTACAGGAGGTATGTATATTTTTCTTAAATGTTGAGGAATATTTAATAACTAATGGCAGCACTGGCACAATAATTGATAGCCATAATAACTTCATTTATATTTAAAAAATTAATTAAGGTAAAAAAAGTTCAAATCAACTTATTATCACAATGCCACATATACAATACGACTAGCATGTGAAAAGGTTATGATGTTTTTATTTTTCCATGTGCTATGGTTGTTAATGTATTAAAATCTTATTTCACCATAGTCAAGGGAATATTTATCCTAACTTTACTTTTCCAGCCATTTTCTGTAAGACACATCTTTTATTCACTCATGCTGAACGGACTGCAACATTGTTTACATTCGGAAAAAGTATTGAAAATGGCAGTCACCCATGTCGATTATCAGACAGAGATCCCCATATACAGGTATGTAGACATTTGTCTTTGTAGTTATAAATTTTCATTAGGAAAAGCCCACTTTAAGCTTTTTAACACATAATTATCGTAATAATTATATCCTAATAAAAAAGAAAGTAATAAGTCTGTATATTATGAAAACAACACTAAATGCAAATAAAAAATATGTATGATCTGTTAGTCATTAGAGCTAGGAGGAGCGCGTCGAGCAGAGAGGAGGGTTTCATGGTGTGCTGATAGTTCTGGAGTAAAAGTGCTTTTATGGAGTGCTGCCAATGCAGAGCCGGCGCCTTGGAGCCCAGTGCTGGAAGATCTGGCTAATCTTCATCTGTACCAAATTCAAGGGTAACATTCTTAAATTTGATCCATAAACAATTAATGATTGTCATCATTTAAACTTCATTATCTAATATATAAAATTCTCATGTTACGGTGTTTGTAATTGAACTCCTACAAAACGGCGCGACCGATTTTCGTGAAATTTTGTTTGCATATCGGTCAGAGTGGAGAATCGGACAACATCTATTTTTGTCCCCCTAAATGTTAAGGATGGTCCACTCCAAACATTTTTTTCTACCCTACGAATAATTTATATGGCAAAACAACATTTGCCGGGTCAGCTATTGAATTTATAAAATTATTTATCTATTTATTTATACATTTAATTTTCAAATGATATTGATAAACAATTATCTTAATTTTAGGCAGCAAGTAACATTGATAGCATTTCATCAGTTGGAGAATGAAGTACTGTGTGCAGAGTTATCTCAAAATAATGACAATGTTGTCCACATTGTTGAACAATCGGCTTCTCATAAAGTGAGTGGGAACATTATTTCAACATCAGCATTAGAACCTAGTTACAACTTTAATTAACCCTTAGAGTTATTCCTATATCCTAACTTAAAAATCATATATCAGTATTTACTTACTGCGATGTTTCTTTCCTTCTCCTGATTACGTCAATTTACATATCGCTGAGTACTCTATCTTATTCAGTTAAAATCACCAAATGACTAGACTTTAATATTCTTACGCTTTCTTTTTCATTCTGCCATTGGATGCATCCAGTAAGTAAGTTTATTTTAAATCATGCCCTCTTTGCATTGCACTGTGTGATGTTCTTAGAATTAAAAAGTTCGCGTAGAATCTAGTTGAAATACAAGATTATTCAATATACAATTTAAAACAATTGCTACCAAGCAACTATCACGCAGAGAAATACTGATATCTCTGCTTGATAGAGTTGGCAATGAAGATATTACCATCAGACCAAAGGTAACCAATGTAGCTCAGAGGATTAATAATCTTAAGTAGCAATGGGCTGGCCACATAGCTCATAGAACCCCAAATCCATTGGGAAGAAAGGTTCTCATATAGCAGTCTCATTTTGGTCATCATAGTAACGAATGTGCGGGTAACTCAGGTTCGTGCTTCTTGGTAGTCTGGGGAAGGCCCTTGTTCAACAGGTTGAATTGATGATGACGATGATAAACTTTTGTGATTAATTTTGCAATTAGTCTGATGAAACAGTGTCGTGGTACTTTCCACAGCGGCGTGACGCTGGGCTGTAACCACACCCGTTGAACTTTCCACAGCGGCATGACACTCGTTTGTAACCAGACCCGTGGAACTTTCCATAGCGGCGTGACATTGGGTTGTAACTGGAGCCGTGCAACTTTCCACAGCGGCGGCCGTAAAATAAGGCGTGGTACTTTCCACAGCGGTGTTACACTCGTTCGTAACCAGGACCATGTAACTTTGGGTTATGATTCGTACTTTCCACAGCGGCGTGACGCTGGGCTTAAACCACACCGGTGGTACTCTCCACAGCGGCGTTACACTCGTTCGTAACCAGACCGGTGGTACTTTCCAGAACGGCGTGACATTGAGTTTTAACTCGGGTCGTACTTTCTACTGCGGCGTGACGCTGGGTTTTTACTCGGGTCGTACTTTCTACAGCGGCGTGACGCTGGGCTTTAACCACACCGGTGGTACTCTCCACAGCGGCGTGACACTCGTTCGTAACCAGACCGGTGGTACTTTCCAGAGCGGCGTGACACTCGTTCGTAACCAGACCGGTGGTACTTTCCAGAGCGGCGTGACACTCGTTCGTAACCAGACCGGTGGTACTTTCCAGAACGGCGTGACATTGGGTTTTAACTCGGGTCGTACTTTCTACTGCGGCGTGCGCTGGGTTTTTACTCGGGTCGTACTTTCTACAGCGGCGTGACGCTGGGCTTTAACCACACCGGTGGTACTCTCCACAGCGACGTGACACTCGTTCGTAACCAGACCGGTGGTACTTTCCAGAGCGGCGTGACGCTCGAGTGGCAGCTGCGCGTGGCGCCGACAGGGGGCGGGGCGGCGCCGCTGGGCGCGTGCTGCTCGCGGGCGCGCGCCTCGCTCCCTTCGCCGGTGCGGATCGCTCGCCGCTCCGCGTGCGGCCGCCGTCTGCTCGCCGCGTGCATAGACGGCACGCTGCACGTGCTGCACAGTGCCGCCGGACACACGCACACCACGCGCGCCGGATTCGTACGTGCTGCACTTTCATTTTATCTATTCACTAATATACTGTAAAAATTACTTGATCGATCTTGTCAGAAATTTTATTCTGTTAAAAGTTTATTCTGTTTTTAAAATACTTGTGAACGATTATGGTTTTGGCCAAACCAAACATAACCTATATTACACTAGCGACCTGCCCCGGCTTTCCACGGTTGCAATGTATTATACATATAAACCTTCCTCTTGAATCACTCTATCTAGTAAAAAACCGCATCAAGTTCCGCTGCGTAGTTTTAAAGATCTAAGCATACAGACAGACAGCGGGACGACTTTGTTTTATACAATGTAGTGATTTATTTATTTGTTAATTTATCACCGACAAAGTACACCAAAACAGAATAAATAAACAAGGTTTTCAAAAGCGATGAGTGATAGCTGCATTTAATTGGGGTAAAAACTACTTTTTAACAGACAGCTGAAACACAATCGAAAAAATGACAAAAAACTAAAAGCGAAATGCGAACACTATAATGATATAAACATTAAACTAAAAATACAGTAAAAATAGAAAAAAAGGAGTATTTAAAAAATATCACTGTTGATGTTGTCACGATATTACGAATTTATAACATGATTATTGGCAGTTAAGTACAGTTTTAATTGTATGTCTGAATTTACATATAATATTGTTGTCAAAAAGGTCGCTAAGGCCCGATTCGCACCCATTGCTTAGGGTCGATTCACACACGGCGAGTGCTAGTACTCGCAGCGGCGATTTGCTGCCCGCCTATCACTCACGTTTTATATGCGAAAATGTGTTAGCGAGCTGGGTGATCTTAAGCGAGCTGGCTGATCTTAAGTGATAACAGCCGCCAATGGGCGTTAGCAACACCCGTAGGGTTGCAGATGAGTTGCCACATTTTAATAAAGTGGAACCCGGCTACCTCACTCATCAGATGAAACTCCAACTGTTGCCCTGCCGCAGTTTTAACAACGGTGAGACAACTTAATAGTGTTCGTTGTTACACAAATGGGCAGGCCCATCCAGGGTAAAAAAAAAGTAAAGTAACAGCCAATACATGTCCCACTGCTGGGCAAAAGCCTCCTCTGTACAGAGGGTATCAGGGCATAGTCCACCACGCGGCCCCACTGCGGATTGGCGGACTTCACATATTTTCGAAATATATATTTTTTGTTATTATTTCGAAAATATGCAGGTTTCCTCACGATGTTTTCCTTCACCGCGGAGCACGTGATAAGTCGGACACTGAGCTATCACGGCTCCATCCAGGGTAACTGAACTTAAATTGGACTTGTCCTTTCATTTTGCAATGAAAACGTCAATTAATGCCAATGATCCGCCATGACATTTGACATGATTAATTGGTTAAATCAGTTCTGTACTCTCCACAGATACCAACAGATGTGCGATGGGCCGGGGAGCTGGTAGTGGCTGTGGAGGAAGCGGGACGGCTACAATGCTTCGATCGTGCTCTCTCACTCCTACACCACCACACTAAGTGCATCGATTTAGTGTCGCATTTTCGGTAATTTGACGCTTATACGTTAATAAAAATCATAATTTTTGTAAAAACATCAAAAATTTATTTTGACTATGACAAAAAAAAATTATGATTTTTATTTTTTTTTTGTCATAGTGCAATATTTTCATTCGTGTCCTTCTATAATTATCAATATGTTTCACATTTGATTTTGTTCAAATATCAATAATTAAAAATTTTAAAAATCAAATATGTTATTTAAAATTGACAAAAACAATTGTTCCAATATTGTTGTAGTCGCAGTCACTTAATGTATTTAGATGTTAATGATCAAGTTCTTTAAAAGGAAAATTTGGCTGCATCCTTGAACATTGGAATTGAGACTTAGTAAACCTACTGTAAACGTACTTGTTATACTGCTAAATCTTTATATATTAGGAATAAAATAAAAAATGCACCTGATAGAATCAAAATGACTTGGAAAATAATTAATAGCAAAACGGGAAGACTCACGAAGCGCAAATCTGACTTAATGTTAACTATTGATAATAATTCTATTAACTCAAATCAACAGGTTACACTTAACAAACTGCAATAATGGGGCCCCAAATTAATAGACTGGCGAGTAGACTTAGCTCAGCAGCTTTCGCGGTCAATAAAATAAGACAGTTAACTGATGTAGACACGGCTCGCTTGGTATATTTTAGTTATTTCACAGTATAATCTCTTATGGCATTCTGCTTTGGGGTAACGCGGCCGACATTAATACAATCTTTATCTTACAAAAGAGAGCTATTTGTGCAGTTTACAATCTGGGCCCCAAAGAATTGTTAAGAAACTTGTTTAAAGAGATAAAGGTATTGACTGTTGCTTCTCAATACATTTTTGAAAATGTTTTGTATGTCCATAAAAATAAGGATAAATTTTCAAGACATAATAATGTTCATGATATAAATACTAGGAATAAAAATAAATTGATCCTACCCACAAGTAGACAGTGCAAAATAAGTAAATATTTTATGGGACAATGTATACGTTACTACAACAAAATTCCAGAAAACATTCAAAATGCATCAATAGCAAAATTTAAAAAAATAGTAAAAGAACGTTTGTGTGTTAAAGGCTACTATAATATTAATGATTCTTTAAATGATAACACACTGGTATGAATGAACTCTGGAATGAACTGATCGCTCCAGGCTCTTTCGATCAGAGTCCTTATATTGTATTTTTAATGAATTCATGTCAAACTGCTTATATTACAAAAAAAAATTAAAAAAAAAAAGCCCGCTGAGTTTCTTTCGCCGGTTCTTCTCAGTACAGTGGCTTTCTTTTCCGAACCGGTGGTAGTGTTTTGACTATCAATAAGCGAGTGTAATGCTCCTATGTTGAATAAAGACATTGATTTTGTTACTTCCACAGGGACACAAGAAGGATGCAAATGCTTGCGACGCGAGGCATGAGATGTGGCCCCGTCATCCTGGCAATGTTCTCGGGGGGGCCTTTGACTCTACTGCATATCACCCATCCACGGCTTATAACGGTATCTCTCTAAAAAGTATTTATGAAAGAAGGTGGCAAAAAAAATAGCATCTGGTGTTGAGTATTCACCGCCCACAGACATGCACCAAAGCTGTGGGGCAGCATTCCCAATGGACAGAGTATAATCCGGTTACCTTAATCACCAAGTGAAATGAAATACTAGGAATACTACTTATTTATGGTGATCTAAATAAGAGCACATTACACATTGTAGGATTTGAAAGTGTAAGTTATGTTAATGCATCCCTCGATCGCAGCGCTATATCGATTTTTTTCAAGGCACTTGCGAAATTCTCCAAAAATTTGGCCAGAAGTTTTACGACTGGCCGTTATGCAGGCGATGATAATGGTAGGCAAAAAAAAAAAGAGGCGTCTCTCCATACTAATGTAATTCTGGTATTAATTCTTATTATCTTGAACAGCAATATAAAATTTAGATATCGAACTTTATAACGCGACAACTCCTATTCAACGCTACTGTAAAGTACTAGCTCCTGGAGCTAAATTTATTCGGATAAATTTCGCGTACATTACAATCGGAAATGCAGAGCTCGTTGAACCGAGTTTATCAGACCCAGTTTTGCAATGGTATTTTATTATATTATACAGCATGGCGTTACAACCGCGACAATAAATTAACACACTTCTAACGTTACTTGCCAATTAATAATCATAAAAAAATATAAACGTTAAAAATCCATAATTAAAAAAGAATATTTTCAAACAAAAATTCTAATTAAATAAAAAGAAACAATATTTGTAACATCTTATCTGACTACAACTGACTGATTCATACATTCACTTTCATTAGTTGCCACGTCACATTATAAGCCTCTATTTCTAACAGTATTTTTTATCTCTTTTAAATTCATTCAACTAATTCATACTGACATATGGTTTGTGACCTCTACAAATGAGCTTTACGTTACAGTTTTATGTGATTGGGTGGTCTAAAATTATTTGTTTTGGAAAATTTAATGACACTGTAAATATTGATGTTTAAAGAAAGTAAATTTTTAATACAATATTAAAAAGTTGTCCTCTGTGTGTGTTGATTTATGGTCGATTTATGGTGTTAGTAGCTCCACGTTGTATATAAGTTATACACATACAAAGTCAACGGTCGAAAGTGTGTGCGATTTCCAAACAGATTGACAGCACACATTTACACTTTTCGTTCGAATGGTGTAAAAAAGATAACGCAATTAAAGCAATAAAAGAAAAGTGGGATGGCGAGTGTTTGTCACTTTACAATAAGTGTAAAAAAAATCTCGAGGTGCATCCGCGTCCCCCGTCACCTCATTAAACTTATTTGTTCGCACGGCTTCCCTCCGGACGGGTTAATATATCTGTGTTGTATGAAGTATCATTGATGTATTACTAACACAAATTCAGGCGTGGGTCCGGGCGGAGCGCACTTCGAACGCCGTTGCCCTCCTGCGCGCGATGGACTGGGAGGGGGAGGGGGTGGAGTGCCTGCGCGCCATGGGCGAGCTGGTGCACGGGGCGCTGCGCGGGGGAGGGGGAGGAGGGGGGGGGAGGCGGCTGCGCAGGCGGCGCTCGGTGCGTTCCTAGCGCCCTCTGTGCCCCTCCGCTCGACGGCCCTGCGCTTCGCCCCGCCAGTTCACGACCTGGCGAGGAAGTTCTTCCACCACCTGCTCAGGTGAATGCATATCTGACGACCCGATTGGCCTAATGGGTAGCGACCCTGTCACTTGCAGAAGGTGTGGGTGCGGTCCCCACTGGTGGAAAAGTATTGTGCGATGAACATAAGTTTTTCCAGCATATTTATTTACATATATGTTAATCAACTGATCTATCTATTACCCATAACTAATTTACCCAAAACTAACCATCCCATAGTACAATATGTGTTTGCTTAGGTTGGGACTACAAAACATTGTGTATAAATGGGTATCGATCTTTAATTATATATTTAAGTCAGTCAATAGACGTTTCCGTTTATGTTCTAGTAATTCTTTTTCGCACCCACAACGAAATCTGAGGAGGCGGGTTCGAATCCCGGAGCGCTGATACTTATTGTTAATTTATCTACAAAATTTATTTATGGGTGCAATTGCAGTCCGCAAGTATTGCTATGTAGTCGTGTGGTGGAATATCCCTTAATACCCTCTGTACATAGTAGGACTTTGCCCAGCCGTGGGATATAATTATAATAGGCTGTTACTAATATATATAAGACCACTATAAATGTTAAATTTTCAATTTGATAAAGTCTGGCAGTACTAATTAATATTTAGGACTCTTTGTGGAATGTTATACACAGTCTTACATTATTTTACGACTTCTATTAGCCTATCATAGCTTTTGTCAAGGAAGTAAACAAAAAGATTGCGCTTTGACAGATATCAACTTTGGGCGCGCTGGCTAAAACTTGTCATACAATCACAATAAAGTGGTGGACTATGCGCTGAGGCCTTTGCTCAACAATGGGATATATACTTTTTTTAGTAATGGGACATCCCATCGCTAAGCAAAACCCATATATATATGCTGTTACTATTTTACTTCGAAGCAGGCGCGGTCGGATCGAGAAAGCTCTGAGCTTGGCTGTGGATCTCGCAGCATGGGACCTGTTCGCGGACGTGCGCTGGGCCGCGATGCGAGCGTCGCAGCCGCACCTAGTTCGGGAGGCCGCGCGCGCCGCACGTCACTACGCGCACGCACATGGTACACTTGCGCGCACTTTTTCTGTTTAAACAAAATCGCCCATAACCTCGCCCAAAACCGCGGTACAATCGCGTGCACTTTTGTCCGATTATTCAAAGTCGCCCATAACGTGCACGCACATGGTACACTCGCGGACAATTTTTCTGATCTTCCAAAGTCGCCCACTACGTGCACGCACACGTGCGCACATATGCTTATCATATGTAGTATAGCCACGACCACGGTCTCCGCTGATGCACGGGACCTTCCGTCTGAGTAAGTACCGACCTCACGGAAGACCGGTGTGATGTGGAAGTGTTATTTTTTTGCGCCTTCGTCTAGTGTGTGAGGTACCCCAAGTACACTTTTTTTTAAGGTGGCAACGCATCTATAACCTCTATGGGTGTTATCACTTAATATCAAGTAAACCACCGGCTCGATTGCCATCTTCATACATAAAAACAAAACAGCCCGGAGCGCAGCGACTGTAAATTAATAAAAAATCGTTTCAAATTTTTTTTTTTGTTTTTTTTTCTATTCAGAATCTGAGTGCTCCGAATCCTGCTCGCAGTGCAGCTCGCGCTCCAGCTCGGAGTCGGATGAAGAGCTGAGCGGATACTCCGGCACCGCGAGGACCACGCCCCCTCCACTACCGCGTGTCGCCCCACCCCCTCAGCCAACAGTGCTGCCCGTGCCGATAACCCAGACGGAGCCCACGTCCACGCTGAGCATTAGACCCAACCTCCACCAATACCTAGAAAGGGACAGCACTATATGGAGCACAGAGCACAGCGCCGACCGAGCCCACGAGCCCGAACCGTTCAAGCAGACCATAAACCCTCCACCGGTAAAATGGCAGAGCGTCGACAGCATGCTACTGAATTATAGGAAACAGCTCAACGGAAGCTCCAGCGAAGTGGCCAGGTCCCGCGTGTTCGACGCCATCCCGAGGATACAGGACGAGAAAATTAACCAGCCGCAGTTCAAGCAAGTCTTCCAAGTGGACTCCAAGGAGGCAACTCCCAATGTCAACTATCGATATAACAACAGTATCGGATCGGGCGCCAATGGAAGAATATATAAGCACGACAGCACCTGGGCAAGCAAAACGGGAGAGAGGAACAAAGTGAAGTTCTCCAATACAGTCACTATTGCTGTGGTTTCGGTCAGTACATTTTCTAGAAAGAATAGTAAAGTAACAGCCTATGGAAAAAGCCTCCTCTGTAGGATATGAGGGCATAGTTCACCATGTGTGTTTGTCGGAACTTTTTTATGATTCAGCACTTAAAATTAACAATTTCATAGGTCGAACGAACTGAGGTTTCTCCAGTACATTTAATTAAAAGCGAGCGCCCAGACTAAGACCTTGTTGTTATTTGAAACGCAGAAGTATAACATTTCCACTCCACGGCGGTCTTCCGTGAGGTCGTGGTGCTTACCCGGACCGACCTGCCCATCCATTCAACGGAGACTGTGGCGTGGGCCTACCACAATTAAAATGGATACCAAAAGTACAATTCAATATTTGCAATTCATTGTTTACAACAATTTTCTAACTGTACTCTGACGAATAAATTTTCTATTCTATTCTGTTTCCAGGAGCCACCGCCTTCGCCGGATGCCGCTCGCGAGTTGGCGGCCAGCCTGCCACTGTGCGCCCCGCACAATTACCTGGCGGCGTTCGCGCCCGCTCCCGCCGCGGCCCCCGCCCCCCGCCAGCCCCCCCACGCCGGTACTACGCTCGACTACGTCGAAGTGTGACGCACGCGCATGCCATCACCGATGTGTGTTAACCTCCTGCACCAATACTCTGCATGTGCATCACTTTAAATATAATTTCCCCTGCTCATACCATCTAGATGGGAGCGGCACAATGCGTATCAGAGTTTAATATAAGATAAACAGAGAAATATATAGGTACAAACATATCTTTTCACATTGATGATGCGTATCACACATCAAATCACTTATAATGATGTATTAAAAGTATTCGATATCTGAACGGGTTACTAAAGAGGGGGAAATTATATCGATCTCAATTTGTACTCGCAAGTATGCTAACATTAAATTTATTATATATAAATACTATTATATATACCAGCAAATTTTAGGTGTTGAAAAAAAATAAATACTTTTTTGTAATGTTTATTAAAACTGAAGAATTCATCCTCTGTTGTATACAATCATACTCTTGTGTTGTTTATTTATTTCTTTTCAACAAATACGGTTATTTGCATTTGCTCTCTCTGAGGTACTGAATTGAAATGTGTGTCCATTGTCCATCGTCCACTTTTTGTAGTGACGTATTTATTTATTAAAGGGGACTGAACCATACCTTCATAGATATAAAAATATAATTTGAAATGAAGTGAGCTACGAATATATATTAGCTGTTCGGCAGAGATATAGAAAATATATACTTTTCTATCACTAACTCGTAAGATACGAAACTAATACGAATCATGATGTTAATGGTACGGCCGTTCGTAAAAAATTAAAACATAGCCAGTTTTAATTTTTTGCGACCGGCCGCCTGCTTAACGACTGATCTTAATAACTGAGCCACCAATCATCCACTCACTTTAAATATACATAAATATACTAGAAGAATATAAAATAATAGAAATACATAGAAAATATAACAACAATTTTAATTTTATCTTACCCAGTTGCATAGGCTACAATAGATCTCGGTTGCAGTGGTTGTTGGGACTTACTACCCAACTCCTTCCACACGGATTATAATCATACCCTGTTGCATGGAATGTTGAAGGGTGTATGTGCTTTAAATGTATTATTTTCTTAAACCTGCAACAAACACCATTACAATTCTCCAATTATTGACACCATATTGTATGTTGATTTCCCAATGTGTGCCAAGTTTGGTATGTTTGTATACTGCACTTATAAAATATACACTTATAATTATTTTTCCATTTCGTTTTTTTTTTTGTGAGAAGGCGGCGAGCGAGCCGGCTGTTCACCTGACGTAAAATTATTACCACCGCCCATCAGATTTTAGAAGCGTTGCCACCGTTTAAAAAAGTGGTCCCTGGCTTCCTCAATCACCAGACGAAACACGGAAGTGTAACACTTCCATTTCACGCCGGTCTTTTGTGAGAGCGTTATACTTACCTGGATGAACCTGCCCGTCCGTGCAACAGCTAAGACTTGCGTGGCCCTACCACATTTTTGTATTTGGCTAATTTAATACTAATTTAAATTTATACTAATTTAATGATGTCCATTTCCATATTGCTGCATAGGTAAAAAATATGTTTAATGTGTTTCATTGTACATATTATATAACCATTCATCTTTATTCTTTTAAGTAGAGAGAGCTAATCTTTTGGGCAATTTTTTTGGGTCTAACTCTACACCACAACCAATTTGTGTAATCAGTTGTCACCAGTGGTGTTTCCTGTAGGGTTTAGACACTTTTGAGAAGCGAGTTTTTATCTCAAAGGCAGGTAACGCATTTATAACTCTGGTATTGAGCGTCCATGGGCGCTGGTGATAACTTACCACCAGTTGACCGCTTTGCTTGTTCACCTCTTTTTCCATATAGTTATTTTGCTTACGCCATGTTAAAGCAAGAATTTAAAATGTATCAAAAGAGCTGATACAGCAGCTGTTGCATTTATTCCTTTCTATTAGAAATAGGGGAATATCTAAAAACCTATCCTGTTGTGATTATGCTTTTATAGTTTGTGGTTAATCATGTTTCAATGTAAACTACTTTTTATTAAGTATCAGTAGTTGGAATAAAAAATGTGAAATATCTTTTGATGAAATACTTAATACAATGCGTTTCACCCACATCTTACAATGTAAATCATATAAAACTAACACTGTTCAAATAATTTTTAACATACATCTCATTCAACTTTATAACTGTTTTTTTTTTTACAGACAATCCTGTTCCTCAGGTGCCTAAAATTAAAGTGGTTCATTTTGGAATGGTGTAAAGCGAGTTATTATTGTGTTGTGAAATATTATATACTATATGTAAAGTTGCACAAATATCCGTCCATTTTTAGCTTTAAAATTATATATCGCTTATATGACTACCTCAAATTTATAAGATTTTATTTAAATGTAACTGATTTCATGCATCATTCTTTTTTCTGCTTGTTCTATACTTCTATTAATAAAATGTATTATATAATGACAGTTGTTTTTACTTTTTACTTGAAAGGTATAAATAAATAATAATCTCATCTAATGTGTCATAAAATTATTAAACCTTTCATCACTTATTACATAAATATTTTTATTTTTCAAGTAATAATTATAAGAATTAATAACTATTTAAATTATAATTATTATGTATTAACATTTTGTGTATCTCAGATACCACAATTTTTTTTGTTTACTTAATGGCATATTTCCTGGAAAAACCCTCTTTCACTCCGAAGTTCTCTCCCTGTGCTAATTGTACTCATACTCATAAATGGCCATCAAAAGGAGTGGCGGCTTTTAAACTATAGCAATATCTGATAAACTGAAAACTTCTATAATTATGAAATAAAGTTCTACTTTCATTTTATGTTACTCATTTGTATATTTGACAACTGTGCAAGCTCGTCACTTGATGGTAAGTGATCACTCCCACTATGTGATATTGTTGAGAGATGACCACTAGTATTTACTTTTAATTTAAAAAAAACGATAATAGTGTCAAAATTTATCCCACTACTTAACTATCAATGTGTTAAGGCCTTAGTTTCAAATTTTTCACAAAATAACCAAAACCATGATGATTTTGGATTTATATTATTACCGCGTTGAGAGTTCCATTCTATCTGTATTTGTTATTTTATACTTTATGGTATTTGTTGGTTTGGAAATCTCAATATAATCTCAAAACTATCTGATCTTTAAGTATAAACGTCGATACATTTTTACACAACATTCTCTAGTACCGAACTAAGCAACGCTTGTACTATGGGTACTAGATAACTGACACATATTTAAACAGCCAGTCAATAGAAAAACACCATATTCATCACACAATATTTTTCCAGTAATGGGGATCGAAACCACACCCTCTGCGTAGGAGGTAGATAAACTACCCACTATGCCACATGGGTCGACAAATTCTTTTAAGAAAAACCATTTATGAAAGAAACAACAAAACCATAAAATTAAATAAATTTTCATTTATGTGCAAGTCAAACATTCATAATAACCGAAAATACTTAGATTTAAACTAGTTTAGAAGTATTGTATTTTTGAATGAATTTTTAGAATATATAATTAATTTATTAAATAATATTGAATATAAATTAATATATTGCATGTTTTTGAAATAACTAACATACTTTATATTAAACAAAGCAGTTCTTTTATCAATAACATGCTATATAATAATAACGTCATTAGTTGTGATAAAGGACTTACCCCTCTGTCCTTAGCCAACGAGCAATGGCAGCTACTGAGCGTTTTCGAAATACGGCCGTATGGAAGGAGAAAGAGCTCCACGGGAGGTTCTACAAGGCCCTACACGAGTACTTTCGTAGAACCTGTGCCTCCCTCAAAATGGCTACGTTTCGGGACCTCTTTGGGGAAACCCAAGGTTTTGTCTGTGCGACAGGACGATTGTCGCGAACAAACTATCGGAAATACATCCTAAAGGATGGCACCGTCGACATCTGTCGAGCTTGTCGCCATCCAGTCGCTTCGGCATGTTATTTCCGGTTGTTCCATGCTTTCTAACTCAGAGTACTGCATAGACACAACCTAGTAGCCAGAATCCTACACCAGGAGCTCGCTCTGAAATACGGCCTCGTGGATCGGAAACAGATAAGAAGCCGTACTAAAGTACTCTCCGGAGGCCGTGCTCGAAAATGACCGCGCCAGGCTCTATTGGGACCGGCCCATCATCACGGACAGGACGATTGTCGCGAACAAACCTGACATCGTGGTGATGGACCGGGCACAGTCGCGGGTATTTTGGTCGACATTACCATTCCATATGACGAGAACCTCGTGAAAGCCGAAACAGATAAGAAGACAAAGTATCTGGACCTGGCTCACGAGGTGACCGACATGTGGGGTGGTGTGCCGGCCGAAATTATCCCGATAGTCGTGTCTGCGAATGGGTTAATCCCAGTCAGCCTCTCCAAACATCTGAGGCGACTGGCGACTTTCGCCCTAACCCGCGGCTGCTTGGTCTCCACTGCCGAGTGTTTCCGTCTGGTTGGATCCTATTTATGTATGTATTATATTTATAATATATATTTTATATATGCAACATATATGAATGAATATCTCCCCCATAAATAATAATAAAATTATTTAGTTCTATGCATATTGCATAGTACATAATTATTAAACTATAAGAATCGGTAACTATAAACCTATTCTACTATATTTACTTAGATGGATTTGATTTCTATTTATAAACTCTATTTTGTTATTGGTTTAATTACTTATTTGTTCTAATTATCAGCATGGACCCTACTCGGGTAAAAGCCTCCTAAGGTAAAAGCATCCTTTACATTTCTCTTAAATATAACAAGTAATAAACCAGAATATCAGATTAAACAAACCATTGAAGTATAAAAGAACAAAATATTTGGGGAACATCTTTATTCCATCATTTGTTTACATTTTTAAAATATATATGCAATTTTTTTCTTCAATGTCTGAGTAGTGATTGCTTAATCTTTAAGCTTCTTCTTAGGGCGCAGGTTGTTGGTGTGTCCACACTTGGTTTTGCGGCAATTGGTAGCACGGGGATGAAGACGAGCATAACATTTTCGGCAGATCATCTTGTCACAGTTGTATTTCATAGCCAAAATACGAAGGGATGGCTCAATAGTACCTAAAGAAAAATTATTATAATATTAAATAACTATAGTTTCTTATTCACACCATAACAAAATCATTAACATGTATATGAAGATATCATTAATACTAAGTTTAAAATTATTTGTAATACCTCCTCGAAGCCTCAACACCAAATGAAGTGTAGATTCCTTCTGGATGTTATAGTCCGATAAAGTACGGCCATCTTCTAACTGTTTTCCGGCGAAAATCAAACGCTGCTGGTCTGGCGGAATGCCCTCTTTATCTTGAATCTTCGCTTTAACATTTTCAATCGTGTCAGAGGCTTCGACCTCCAACGTGATTGTTTTCCCCGTAAGGGTTTTTACAAAGATCTGCATTGTTTTTCTGTAAGATATGTGGACATATATAAATTAACACGGATAATTTTTATGTTATTATTGACTGCCAAACGATGGAATGAAAAGAACAAATGCCGAACGACGAAGTCATTTTGACATGCCACGCGGAAATTAAATTTCGAATAACAGTTTCGAATTTCATGTAATGTCAAATATGCACATAAAAAAATTATTTTAAATTAAAAAAAAACTATTTACAGCCTACGCGAAAATTAATTATCCATATTTTACGGCACTAACCTTTTGGAAATGTGGTCGATCTAACTGTCAAACACTGGAAAAGAAAATGGCAGAGATAGTAGGCACTGACCATTGAGAAAATAGATGTTAATTTGTATTACTCCACCTGATTTATGGAAATTATTGTCTACGGCTATAAAAATAAACCATCTAGAAATATGATTTATTTTAAGAATTTAAGATGTTTACTTTCGTAACTCTATATAAACTTTTTTAAATCGAAAAGATGAAATCTGTTAGTAAAGCTGTATGTTTGTCGATGTCATTTACTAACATTCTTAATAGAGCCGCGTTCGTCTCTGGCCGGCTACATAATTTAACTAACGCTAAAAGTAAAATGCCCTTAAGGCACAAATTATTATTATTTAAGACCTGCGTAGGACCTATTATGTCTTACGCATGCATGACCTTCGCCCACACGCACCCGACTCGCTTGTGCAAGCTGCAAATAATACAAAATAAGTTCATCCGCCGCGCAACCGGTGCGCAGTGGTATCAACGCAACGTCGACCTGCACAGCGATTGCAGACTCCCGAAGATTCGCGAATATTTTAAAGACCTGACCACACTGTCCTTCGATAGAGCCGAACATCATCCCAACCCTCTGGTGGCAAGCGCAGCAAATTACCAACCCAACACAAACGCGAACGTCAACAAGCGTCGCCCGCAAAACGTCCTCATCGACCCGGTCGAGGAAGGGGACTTAGATACGTCGGACCCACCGTCGGTGGTCCCGCCGGATAACACTACACCCACAGCTAGTGTAACAACAAACACAATAGTTCGCCTCGCTAGCACGACGGGACCAACGCAACGCGTACACAAGGTACACCCGCGTTCCAGGGAGGTTCTCACCGCCACCAGCTACCGATTAGTTAAAAACACAGCCAACGGCCATCGGGCTCTCGGTCCGCACCGCAATCTCGATGGCCCTTAGATGACGTGCACATGCGTGGCCCTACCCACAGCGGAGGGCCCAAACCCGTGGGTTATGGCTAGCCCACCGGTTCTGCGTCAGATGAAGCTTTAATAGTCTCGGGACTGAAAGCACAAACATCAGTTAATACAAGATACAAGATGTTTGTCGAGCATTGAAGATGAAGCCTATAAGCGAGGTCTTCGGGCATCTTGTCTGTCGGCCGTGTGGCGTTTTCAATGTGCTTTCTGTAGTTTTAGATAATGGCGATGGGTCTTTGACATTATTTCCATAGAATGTAATAATTAGCTCCATAGATAGAATATCTAATACAACGTGTATGTATCGGGTATTCGTAAATGTCGGTATTCTGATTGAAATTCGGAGGTGTTTACTTAAGGCAAAGAGGGCACGTCCGTTAACATCATTATTGTACCTCTTCTAAGAAAATACTTTTTTCCTTTAGAATTTGAGTTTATTTTTTACGTGAAAAGATGGCAAGTGCGCTGGACATGTTACAAGATATTTTCGTTAGGGAGTTTAAGTTCGGCTGTTGCGTGATCGGGGGATTTTAAGCAATAGGGGCGTGCGTTATCAATCGATAAATAGTTGGCACAGGTAGCAATGAGCCGGGGTGAGGCGCTTACGCGGTGCTTCGATCGCACGCACGCGCGGACGCACTCTCTCACTCACGCACGCAAACACTCACACAAGCACACGTACGCACGCACGCACGCACCGCTTCCCTATTTTACCATTTAAATATTCATTACCAGTCCGTAAATCAAACTGTAGATCGTAATATTTTTCCCCCACAGGACAGGCAACAGCCTAGTGTGGGGGCAGTTCCTAAGGCATAAGTGTAGAAGTATTTTTTTGGAAATGAAGTTATTTGTAATTTTTATAATTTACCTACGCTACCACTACGCCCAGTACAGCATAAAATGCATAATTTTAATAACAGACACGTCTCTGCACTTTCCTGCTTTACTTTTCGTAATCAATCCTTCGACATTAGTATATTGCGTGATCAAATTGTAACCTCAAACATATTACATTCTCCGGAGCCGAGGTTCGAATCTCCATCTGAGCCTTTGAATCGTGTCGTGTGTTTTAGTCAATTGCCTATGTTTCATAAAAGAGATCCCGGAGATGCAATGGAGTGGACGGTATTTGTGCCAAGTGTGGGCATAGTTTATTCGCGGACCTCTTCAATGAAAGTGTGTCAAAGTCGAAAGTGTCATAGCCTGGACTAAAAACAAAAAAAGTAAAAGTAGCGCTGCAGCCCCACCGAGTCGCGGAGGATAAAGAGCCCACTCGGAGCGGCCTTAAATCACAGGCCGGCCCAGTGTGGGTTCCTCTTAGTTTCGTCGAGGGTGACTAAGCCACGGCTACTAAGCCGCTCCACCACGTCAAGGTGGGAACCCCGTAGGAGGGGATTGTAACAATTTACTTAATTAGGTAGTTTTTTTGTCGTTAAACAAGAGTGTGAATTAAGTTTATTTTGTTTAAAGAAATTTTGATTTTGACTTTGAAATAAACTTAAAAAAAGTAACAAATTATATCAATGATCTTCTTAATTCAAGGGATAAATAATAATTTCATTTAGTTCTTATTTTTAAAATTACATTAAATCTAATTATTTTTTAGGACAACATTCACTTCACTTCGATTTCCGAAGATTCCGAACGCACTCAATCTTGGACCGTCCCGATAAGTACTTGTTTCGTAACAGGGTTGTTGGAATATTGAGTTCTGATCAGTAATAAACGTGAACACATTGAAAAATGTACCATCAACTAAGCAGAGTTACTGGCCGTTTGGTCGCTGCGACCAATTTGCAGAGCCCACTGTATCCAATTGTAAGTATCGCGAAATAGGTGTTAGCTAACATTGTTTTCACATACTGCAGCAAAGAATACTGTGAAATTTTCAGGCACCAATAGCCTTGCAACGAGTGGAGCCGCCGCAGATCCAATACAATACTGCTCATATGTCGACTGTAACTGAAGCTTCCGCATGCGCTGCACCAGGACCCCGAAAGCTGATTCCCGGCACAAACATTCCCTATCCACCTGTTCCAGAAAAAATCAAGAAACAACAGGAACTTTTCCAGGTAATAGGAATGTGAAATATTCCAAATACAAAATATAACTTTTGTTTACTACTAGAACCTATAAAATAATAAAATTATTGGTACTAAGTTATGCTATTTTTCTCCATTACAAAAACACAATTTTGTAACATAAAAATACTGTAGTATCTTAGATAACCAGATTTAAGTTCTCTTTATGCAAACCCAAAATAACTGATTAATATAAAAAAAAACTCTTTTTTTACAGAAAGAAAATGATATCCCAGTGTTCCTGAAAGGAGGTCCCTTCGATACTATTCTCTATCGTTTTACTTTGACCTTGTGTGTTCTGGGTCTAGCTGGAATTGCCCAAGTTATTTACACCCATGCTGTTCCCAAGAATAACTGAAATATTAACTTGTTTTAATTTATTATTAGAACCAAATGTATAATAGTCTTTCGTTATGTGGAATTAAAGAATATTGAAAAATTAATATTGAGTATAATTTGTTAGAAATAAATCTAAAATATCATTAATAATTTTTTTAATGTTAGTTTTTGACAAAATGCCAATGATTCCATAATAAAGTTTCAGTCGGATAGATCAAACCAACACAACTCTGTAGTTACCTATATAACATACCTTAATGTTAATTTTGAGGTTTATTGATATTTACTACAACAATAAACAATTTATATGTTGTTTTCTATGAATTCAGAATTGTTACTCTCCATTTTTATTATAATTATACAGTTAATGTCGAAAACTTTCAAAAATTTACTTATAAGTATAATAGACTTAAAAGGGTGTGTCTTATGACTTTCTCTTACTTTTGAATTTTAAGGAATAAAATATGCATGTCCCACAGCTGGGAAAAAGCCCCCTCTGTACCGAGGGTATCAGGGTATAGTCCATCACGCGGCCCCACTGAGGATTGGTGGACTTTACATATTTTCGAAATACTTTTTTTATCATTTCCAAAAAATATGCAGGTTTCCTCACGATATTTTCCTTAACCGCTGAGCACGTGAAAATTCAGCATTTAATACTTTCATTACAAATTAATAATTTCATTGGTGTCGGCCCCGGGGACCTCAAGTTGCTCGAGTAACGAGTATATTGAATTTAAAAGGCGAGCGCCCGCACACTGCGCTATCACGGCTCATAAGGAATAAAATCTATATAAATAAAATTATTGGTCTGCAGTGTGCGCGCATCACTAAATAACTGGATTTGAATTGAAATTCAATTAATTCTTTATATTAATGTTTTATAGAACAGACAGTTAGTCTTAATCTAAAAAAATATTGTGATAGCTTCATTTAATGTGAAGTTGTTATTTTTATGAAACGATTTTTATCAGCTCTACACGTTCACTGATGTATGTTTTCTTACCCTTATACCTCCAACCTAATTATTCTATTCATAATAAGTATTTTAAATTTTCATTAATAATATATAGTATACAGGTATCTATGTATTTTTTTTCTTTCTAATATTTTTGCACATTATAAGCTACGCAGACAAAATCGCGGGCTCAGACAAAAAGTTATTTCTTATTGGTCTGAGTTCACAGGTATCCGCTAGTATAAAATAAAGTGACTGACTAATATTGACTTTCCAAGAGAGCCAAGACTCCAAAACAGATCTTTCAACAGGATGTATAAGCACCTACCGTAATCTCTATAGTAACGAATCCATCGTAACAGCAGACGAACGAAGTCGTCTCTTCTTCTGGAATTTTGACCCTATTTTTACATGAGAGAGTTGGTCAATTGCCTTCCCTACGATTTCTATGGCACCATAATATGGAGTAACAGGGATTCGTGTCATGTCAATGACCTAAAACGTAGTGTTTGAATATATCATTGCAAGGATCTTCTAATCATATTGCGAAACACCATTACTTACTTTATTTTTTTTTTAAGAAAAAAACCACCACTTACCAAACCATTACTTTAGTTAAAACCATTTCATTAGGCACATGAATTCCTTTTTAGGATCGGTTCAGAGCCTAGTTTTATTTAATAAATCATGATCAAATGATTATTATATAATGATATGTATAATAATCATTTGATCACTTTGTATACGGGTTAAAAATAAAACGAAAGTTATGTTACACATTCTATTTGTTTTCTCAAAATTATAACATCCACTGGCCATAAATTTTTTCGGCATGGGTAATTTTCTCATTTCAGCATTTTACTAAGCTAAGCAGTTTATATTAAGCCATTGAATCCACAAACCTAGACAAGAGATTAGAGATAATTTAAAAGTGTATTTAGGAAAAACAACATTATGTATAACACACGACATTCAAAATTATTTATTTTGCTACTGTGATTAAAGTACTAAAGACTTACAATACGTGACAAATACTTTGATTACATTATAACAGCTCCAGTAAAGTATAATTAACGATAATTAGGTACTTATTAAAAATAAAAAAATTACCCAATTTCTAACGAAATGTTTCTGTCTCGAAATATATTTTTTGTGTAATCATAACGTCAATTTCGAATCCAATTTCGTGATAGGTTGAAAGTGTGGTTTCGTTTTATAAATGCAAAAATATATAGAATGCTAAAACAATAAATAATTGTGAATCAGGTACTTACACTAGAAAAACATAGTTTTAAAAAAAGTAAAAAAAATCTTATAGGAACATATTCCAGATCAGTAATAAATCTTAAAAAAGGATTTAGGAAATAAGGAGAAGGATATTTTCCTATGGAACATGCATGTTATGGTATTTTACGCCATTACTCACGGAATGTTCAATACAACAGGATTCCTTAGCCTACTCGTTGTAAATTAGGTATCTATATATTCCTAAAGCAGTTAATTTTAACAATAAATGTATCAACACTAATTATTCTTAAAAAGTAACAAATCAAAAAAACAGTCAGATATACTGAAGATTGCAATTATTGAGATGATAATAATTAGATATATTTCACGTATTCTATCAAAATAAAATTATGTTTAGAAATCAAATTAATGTTAAGTACAATAAAATTATGTGAAATAGTTAATAGCTTGTAAATAATTTTTGGGAATTGATTACTGTAAGAGACAATTTATTTTCATTGTGAAATGCTTAAGCACAGCCATAAGATAAATCCTGAGAAATATGTAAATAATGAAACTTAAAATTAACGAAAATAAATAACCAATTATTGTAAAAGTTAAGTGAGTATAATTATTTTTTTTAATTAAAATTTAATAATTTTAAACCAATTTTAATAAATAAACACTGGAACTAAAAGGATTTACAGTGGCTAAAGAAGCAAAATTTACTTTATATTGATTATAAAGTAAAATTAGCTTGATTGCCTTGATTCTATAACAAGTGCTAAACAAAATTTACTTGCAGACCTGCAGTCTTTATGAATTGTGTTAATAAATATTAATTTATATTAATCACTTAGCCAACAGTAACATATTTTTTTATTATTATTCATGAAAATTAGTCAATAAAGAAATAACAAAATCAACAAATGTAACATCAATGTAACTTTGTATATATGAATATTATTTTTATAAGGTATATATATATATTTCTACACAGCTTCTAATATATTTGCCAATTACATGTCTGATATTAAGCTATAACTGAGCTAAGGAAATAATATTTAAGTGGGCCTCGGGCGAGCCGGTAATGGTGGTGGCGCGCCCTGTCGTGCAGGGACAGGTGGCGGTGGCCCCATAGGGGGTGGAGTTGAGCTCTGGGGCGGCGGAGGAGGAGCACATGACGGGGGAGGAACACTATCAGGGGGTGGTGATGCGATGGGAGGCTGAGCAGTATTTCCTGCAGCATCAGGTGGAAGTGGTGCCGGTCGCGGCGGCGGTGGCCGTGCCGGACTCACCACCGGAGCCCGCGATGGTAGCAGTGGCGTCGGTGATGGGGCAGGCGGCCTACTGGGTTGCTGCCTCCTCGGCGTCGGAGGTGCCGACCTGAGCGGCCTTTCCGGTTGAACCTCACCAAACAGTGGAATCGTATTGTTTGTACATAAATTAATCTCCGATCTTACGATGTCTACCCAACTGGGCGATTTCAGCGAAATACGAAAATGTATGGAGGAAACTAATATGTGGCCTTTTTGCGCCGCCGCGAGCGCGTGCTGACCGTCCCTAAATGTTATACTCAATGTATGATCGTCAATAAATCGCACCAAAGTAACATCGCCAATTGTCGCTAATTCTTGTAGAATGGCTGCCATTATATTGTCATCAAATACTGAATCTTCACTATCAATATCTTCATAAGGTTGGACAATGATACTGGCATCGGGTGGGCCAAGATCTTTAACAACTTCATAAAAAACTTCCATACACTTAGTGTAGCTTACTTGCAGTACTTCAATTTCCAAAATGGCTATTACTGGACGATGATCGCTTTGCTTTAATTCAGTTCGACCATAATAGAGAAGCTTTCCTGCTGCTAATTCTGATGTTGTTTCAGGATCAATGGTATGTTTTCGGCTTCTCCATAATACACGATCGGTCCAAGCGGGTGCACGGCATTTTTCACTAGTATCATAATCGTCACTAAATAGATCATACTTATAAGTTGGAGGAAATGTAATTTCACCCTCAAAACAATTTTTGAAAACCAATCCCTGTGATTTTTGCCTTATTAGTTGATCTTGTTCAAGAAGTCTTTGTAAATTGTTTTGAGCAGCCAATAATCTCGTTTCGTCTTTTTCTAAGTCTATACGATAATTAAAATCACCACACCAAAATACATAATCATGGGAGTATAGAGATCTGCCCATAGGGAACGCAATTTTCCTTGTAATCTCAGTATAGTCAGCATTGCGTTCAGAAACTTGTGACTGACCAGCAGCAAAGTGGGCGCAAACAAAACATAAAGATGTTCCATAAATTACCATTCTAATGACGACAGCTCCTTTATTGCCAGTGGCACCTCCAAGACCAGTCTTCACTGAGTCAAGTGCTACATCTCTTATGTGTGGTATTAGATCCTTCCTCACAAATATGAATAGGCACACTCCAACTAATTGGTGACTAGATAAAAGTGTGTATGAAGCATCTCGGCATAAAACCTTTTCTAATTCTTCACTCCATGCTTTTGCATTGTCTGAACTAGCTGCCATTATGTTACTGGCATTTAAATCAACTATTTCTTGAAATCCAATAGCAAAAATATCTGATGGTTGCTCAGACAAGTTAACCGTACTGACTAAAGAAGAATTGGGACAATCCAAAAGCCAATCAGACAAAGAAACATCTTTATAGGCAAGACTTCTAAAATGTTTGCCACCATTTACATTGTATGTTCCAATGGTAATGCGAATACTGGATGGTTGTGTGAATTCATTAGCTCTTCGACACATTTCCCTTAGCACAGGAGTAGATGTGTGTAGTATATTTGGTGGTAATAATATACGCGTACGATCAGCAAGCTCTGAATTTAACGTAGATCCTAATAACAATATGTCTATAGCCTCTTGTTTAGAGTTATCTAATAGATTATTTTGTATTGTACGTGCCGCTGACCTAGCTCCATCTATGAGCTTTGAGCCTCCTTGTATAGCTCCTGTACCAGCATAAATTTTAGATATCTCATTGCCATTATTAATCCACATCTGTTTGAATACCTCTTCAAATCTATTAACATTTTGTTTTTTATCAATACACTGTAAAAGCATAAGCTGAATAGCAAGCATTTCTAAACCAATAAAGGTCTGTATTGAGTTTGTCCTATCCAAACAATCTAAGCAGTTTGTGCGAATCACACCTTTCTGAACATTATAGATATCAATGCCTTTAGCACTAAATATGCTAATATCATCATAGTGCTTCTCTACAATTTTTTTGAATCTTGATAATGCAGTTTCAATTGATGATGCTCGTACCTCTTGGTGATAGTCAAAAATGATTTGTATAATATCAGAATGCGCTGATTCATTAAGGTGCCTTTGATAAGCATTACTCAATGTTGCTTCGCCTTCGCTGCCACCAATTAAACTAGATCCAAGCAAATTAACAACAATTACAGATCCATAATTACGTTTTAATTGTGAAAAATGTCTATCACAGACACTATTGGATGCATCATATCCCCGGGACATTTTAACTTTATGAGAACCAACTTGAATGCCAGGCTGTTCCCAGAACAAAGGAACTGAACCTCTAGTTTGTATATAAGATGCAACAGAATCATCAATATATATGGCTTGTTCAGTCTCAACAAAATTAGCAACATTTCCATCATCATTACTACCTCTAACATTGAATCTAGTACCTGCTCGCTCACAGCTTAATCTAGACACAAGCACAGCTCTTGCTTGACGATGACCAACATAGATTGTGCGGATTTCAACAGATCCACACATAGCTCTCGTAAGCCAATCATCACAATCAATACCATATCTTATTAGATGTATGAATAATGTTCTATTCCAGAAGAATCTATTATCAGGATTAGCTCCCTTACTCTTCCTTTGAGCACAAAGCGTAAGGTCAAATAGATTATCGTTAATTTTACCAGAATTCCAGGAAAAGTAAAAAGTCCCAGAGTTTAACAATTTTCTTACTTCTGAAACTTTATCGTCCCCTTGTGACTGATAGAATAAAGGAAGAAATTGTGTTTGAGTAATTTTGAATACCTCTACATCGCCGACTTTGCCGACGGAGCAGCATCCAATGACAAGAACGAGGTACAGTAGACAGCTTTCACCGGAATTCAATTGTAGAACACCCAAGCAGCCATACGCATCAGCAATCTTGTGATATTGCTTTCTAAGAGTTTCTGTTTCTTGAGAAGATAACGATACAACAGCTTGAGATTCAAATAGCAGAGCTGTGTCTTTATTTCGGTGTTGTAATATTATGCTGTAAGGATTGGGCGGCGATGACTTTTCCAGGACTTTAAATCCTTTTGACATAGCCATGTCTGATCAGTGAAACGATACTACATTCAGATATGAGCCCAGAGCCATCCACCCCCACTTAGATTTCCACTAAAGTAAAATACGAATAAAAGTAAAATCGACCGATTCGATTACAAAATGTCATCAATGTCATTAAAAGCTGTCATTTGGTGCAGATATAAGTGCAGAAACGCTTAATGTATTCTCACAGAATTCACCTAACGAAATGTTTACGTTTCATATTTTTATTAACTTCAGTTGTCACACGGTTAGTATTTGAATTTTGAAAAAACACTGTCCTGATATCGAACCGTCTCAATCCCGAACTACTCCGAGCCGCTATCGATAAAACGATTCCAAGCGAAGCACTGCTTACCACAGGACCATAGGCCTCCTCACAGTCCACCCCACATTTTTGCCGAAAACCTCCGACCACTAATCCAGCTCTACATCCTCCATCCGACCTCCCAGAGAGCTTCGAGCCGATTTGTTGAATACGGTCGAATCCAGCTCGCCGAAATTTTTTTTGTAGGATTTACCGGCCCGATTAAAGGCTTTCTTCTTGAGGCTGATATCTTCAGCTTTGCGGTGTCGAGCTTCAACCCAGGACAAGTATGCTGAATGCTTTTTCTTTTCAGCTCGAGCACATTCAGCGTTAAACCATGGGTGAGCTTTGCCACCGATAGGTACGTCAGCAAATGGGATGAAATACTCCATTGCTTGATGTATCTCATGAGTTACGGCTTCCGCGCAGCTCGACGGGTCTCTAGAAGCAAGGCAAATTTGCCGCCAAGGATAAGAAGCAAAAAGTACCGCATCTCATCCTAATCTGCTAATTTGTATCGCCAAATTCGCACACCCTGATCTTTGTAATCAGGTGGAGAATACGACGACACAGATTTCACCAGACAGTGGTCAGAAGTTCCTAAAGGAGAAGAGACCTGAACACTGTACCTGTCTGGATCGGTTGTCAGCAGAAGATCCAGGCAATTGGCTACGTGACCGTCCACATCTGGTACCCTGGTTGCCTGCTGCACCAGCTGGGAGAGACCAAGAGAGGTAGCAAAGTTCCAACCATTTCTCTGGTAGTCCTCTGGTATGGGAATAGCCAGTCCTGATGACAGGCGTTAAAATCCCCAGAAAGACCAACTGTGCAGTAGGCTACCGTTGGACTGCCACATCAGCGGCCTCGCTAAGATGAGCGAATAAACGAGTTGTCTCCTGGTCACCGCTGTGCGATCGATAGATACAGGAATAGATGACTTTTTCCACTCACGTATCCACTAACACCCAAAGTGTTGAGAAACTGGCGTCTTCAAGGTGACGGAGACGCTGATAACAGATATCATTACGGGCGTATACACAGACTCCGGCACGCTGGTGGAAGTGGTGCTTCTAAACAAACCCTGAATAGTCCAGGTACGCCGTATCTGTAGGACATCGTATTTGCGTCTCCGTTAAGAAAAGTAGATGCGGTTTGATAGTCTCTAGATGATGGTGGACAGCACAGAGATTTGAGTACAGACCTCGAATGTTAGAGAGATGCACTTGTAAGGAGAGGAAGTGCATCCGCTGTGTGAACCTACTTTTCTTTTTCTGATTTTTCATTTAGTATGTGGAGTGAATAGGATGGAGGATGGCAGTTGAACAAGGCCTTGCGATGTTACCCAACAACGCAACCAGAGTCACAGCATCGCAGGGACGCCCGAACTTCCCCAAGGATCGCCATCGGGTCCTCTCACCCGGTCGTCAACCGGCACGATGGGGCCACCCTGGCATTATGCACAGTTGGCGGGGCAGTCTTTCGTGCGTGGCTGGCACACTACTTGGGCCCCATACTAACTGCGGGCGGCCAGCGGAGCACCGTTCTTCGGATCCCGCTACCCTCCGCAAGCAAGCACCCGATACTGAAAAACTGGTGCATCGTACCCGGCATTCGTCACAAGGCAACAGTATAGACCCATCCTTCACACGGCTTCGTCAGACATCATGCTGGAACACGACGAATCGTTTGGCAACATGACTTTGTCTGACGGGTGGTAAAGCCGGCAGCCGATGACGAGGCCTACCACCAGTGTAGTCGTTCATTTAGCACTACCCAGGGGACACGTGTAGGGTATCATAATTCAAGTACGCTCCTACGAACTCGAACAGCTGCGACATATTAAGCGAGTTAGTTTTGCACATTCAAAAAATTGTCCTCCCCCTCCTTATGAACGAAACTTGAAATCGCTTCAAGTAATTGAAAATCGATTCAGTCTATAAATAGCACATTCATCATTGTAATTTCAAACTACAATCGGTTTTCTTCAATTTTATATGGAAACATTTATTTATATACTAATGTCTTTACCCTTATTTATTTCACTAAAAACATAATTTTTATGTTTCACTTACCTTTAATGCTAAAAAACATTCTCTTCCATTTCTATATAGTATTAGAAGCTTAACTTGGCGCAAAATTAAAATAAACTACCCGAAAATAAATTAAAAATTTTACTCATTATTCACATGTAAAAAAATTAAAATAAGTACTTCAACAGTGACTTAATAGAATTGTAAACTATGAATTGAAAAATGTTTTATTATACATTCTTAATATCAAACAGTTATGACTTATAATTTTTTTGCACATGATGCAAATTCGTTAAATTCGCTTTTAAAAAAAATAAATTAAAAATAAGACCCCATTTTTTTTCTTTAAATTGCAATTCAGACAAAATATGTTTAATATTAACACCTCACTGAAAGACATTGTATAATATGTATATCCGACCTCGATGGATATTTCGGGATACTGATCAAGTTCATTTAATTAGATAAATTTTCTAAAGAAAAGCTTTACTTAACTTTTAAATAAAAATTATTTTTAATATGTTGGGAAAGCCTTTAATATCTTTATTTTATGATAGTAAATATTTACCGCAATACATAAGTAAGTTATTTAGTGCTAAAATTTACATATTTTTTATATAAAGCTAGGGATGCGGCAGGAACGGTCACACGGCCGCTGTTTCTTTGGACATAGTTGTGATATATTTCTTTTGAAGCTCTGGTGACAGTTGGCGGTATAACGTCTACAGTACTGTCAATGGTGAAGGCGCTGCTCACTGTCATCACTATGTGTATGTCTGGATCATAGTGCGGATTCGATCTTCGCTCAAAGTTAACATAACGTTTGTACCTAAAATATAAAAATAAATATGGATTATTGTGTAAATTACCTACTAACAGCTGAATTATTGCGATATTGTCTGTATTTCACTATTTTATCATCAACAATGTTTTCATGTTTACATGGACTGTTTGAGGTAATGAATATGCTTTATGGTAATCTTTCCTTTCTTTATCTCTAATTCTTAATATTGTTACTGTTTCTTAACTGCAACTAAATCGTTGTGCTGTTAAAAATTACCCTTCTTATTTTAAATATTTGTTAGTTCTTTTTTTTTTGTAGCATATTTTCAAAACTTAGATAATGATATCTGCACCTGAAATAGGCATATAATTTTAAAACTGTGTAGATATGCAAGGATGCTGTTGGTGAATGTTTTTAAATAATTATTAAATTTGTTATTATTGAATCATCCTACAATAAAAATCAAAACTTCGTACACAATCATATCTCTTTTGCTTGGTTCTTTAAGAAGTATTCTATTGTGACGTTTGATGGCGGGAAACATGGCGGGTTCTTCCGTTTCCTCTTTTGAAAGCGCTTTAGCAACTAGCGCCAATGGCGATGGCACCAATAGGCGTGAACTAGGCGCCGAACTCGTCAGGTCGTCGTCTGACGAGGAATCGCTGTTTGAACTAGAAAATAACAGAAATAAACATTTTATATTTTGTGTGCAATGTTATGTCTTCTGTTCATTATGTAGTACATATTCGCAACATAAAATCGTATGGTGCGGTAACAATACATGAGAGAATTTGATTTAGTTCGCCCGGGCTACCGCCAATTTTTTGAAGTATTCATCATCATCGTCCTACCCTTGTCTGAAGTAGCAAGTCGGAGTAACATGTAAATAATGTTTTGAGTAGGTTTTTTACGACCGCCCGCTTGCCTAACTTCAAGCTTCCTTGGGAACAAACACCCAAATCCGGAACAATTATTCGTGGGTCAAACAAATACTTGTCCCGTGTGGGAATTGAACCAAAGACTCTGCGCCGAAGCCAAAAGCTAAGCAACTACGCCACCGGCTTTTAGAAAATTGTCACGTAAAATAGTTTAATTTAACAATAAATCATCAAGTGTGTTTAATTAGGGCCTCTTGATATGATCTAATTAGATAGATACATGGTATATAGATATAAAGCATAAATAGATCTCTACAGATGTAGATTTGGTTAGTAGCGATAGGTATTTGACATTAGGTCAGTATTACTTACGCCAAAATTGCGTATCCATTAACCAAATCTACAGATAGATACAACAGTGAAACCGGCCGTAAACTGTAAATAAAAGAAAAGAATCCTTTTTTTTTTACAAGTACCTATTTATCCGAGGTCTGATATTAATCAGTCAGATGCGGCCACACGAAACTTCAGCGAGCTCAATTTCGATCACGACTGTACTTTGCACATTAACTGTATTGACCGTTGTAACGTACTCGCTTGAATTGTTGGACGTGGTGCTGGAGCGGCCGCTGATGACGGGGTTCTTCGAGGCTGGGCCCTTGCCCTGGCCGACGCTGCGGCCGCGCACCACGAAGGGGCTGAAGCTCTCCGAGAAGGTGGGGGCGAGGTCGCGTAGCGTGTGAAACATCTGGCGCGGACGCAGTTTTTATTTTTTTTTAATCCCGCGAAAGACGAGGATGGCAATTGGAGAACGAGGAGAAATAGGGAAATAGATCATCGTGTGCCCGAACTCAACGTTATCGGCGAATCTACTATTGTTCACAAAGCCATACACTACGAAGTCGGATAGAAATTTTTATACGCATTGGTAATTGTATTTAAAGCAAAATGAATTTATTCTTGTTTCCATTTTATTCTGCTGCTCATGATCATTTAAATTTTTTTAATCAAATTTATACGCATCTCGTGCTATCACGGAGGTATAAGGAAATATGGTAGGGCTCTGAAAAACTGTAAAGTTCTGAAGATCAGCGAAATAATATTCAATTTTTTTTTATCAAAAGCACACCAAATATTGACTAAAAGCCGGTGGTAAATAGTGACGTATTTTTAGGCACTAAACGCCTGTTAACTTTGGTGCCGTTATCGGATTATCGATAATTGTTAGTTCCACACCACCTCGATGTCCAGCGTTCCACAACAGCGCGATTTTCAAGGCATTTCCTGCCTCGCACAAACTCTCTGTGGAACCAGCTGCCGCCGGCGGTCTTTCCGAACCGTTACGACCTAGGAACCTTCAAGAAGAGAGCATACTCTTTCCTAAAAGGGTGGCAACGTGCCACCCTTTTAGGAAAGCCCTCTTGTGTTGCAGGTGTCCATGGGCGGCGGTGATCACCTACCACACCTGGTGGTAAGCGATCACCGCCTCCTGCTCGTTTGCCCCTTGTTTTCCATTAAAAAAAAGTTCCATCAATCGAAGAAATGACCGTGCATTTTAAAATTGTTTTGCTACTTTCAATTTTTTTTTAATTTCGAATGGTATGTATTTATGAGTGTATACATACACATGTATACACTCATAAATACATACAACATACATATTTTGAAATACATACAAAATACATATTTTGTATGTATTTCATTCAGTCATATATTATGTATGTTACTATGGCACCACCTACGTAGTGAACGTTAATTTACCCCATTGGTTACTTGGAATAGATCGCTATGTAGTTATAAGGCCGCCAAATTGTGCATTCCATAAATTTGTTTGTCTATTGTCAATTTTGTGTATCCTTTTATTTGTGGTGGACAATAAACTATTCATTCAAATTAAAATCCAAATCATTTATTCATCAAATAAGAAATATACATTTCATTTATCGATAGTCATTTTTTAAATCTACCACCGTTTCGTAATGAGGTTCCTGTAACGGAGAAGAAACAGGCGGAAGAAACTCCTTAGGTACCTATCCTCTTTTATGTCATTTTTTCATGGTTTCATTCGTTCATTCATGGTTTTTTATTTTTTTTTCTTACCACCCACCTTGAACTCGAAGCAGTCCGTGAAGACGGTGTACTCGAAGGGCCTGTTGTACTCCTGGTAGGGGTCGAGCATCTCCAGGGCGCCGTCGCCCTGGGTGCCGATGATCTCGCAGCACAGCTTGCGCATCTCGTTGCACGGCAGCGGCAGGTGTTTCACCACTTCGTCGTCCCACCACTTCGTCAGAGACCTACCAGCACCCTTCGGTGAAGCAGCGGTCTATACGGGGAGATTTTTTGAGAAGTGCCCAAGTTTACACAGGAGGTTCGGACTCGGTAGTATAATCGTTGATTGAAATAAAAAAGAAACTTTTTGTTTTTCGAAAAAAATGCCATGCTATTCCCTAAAGAACAGAACGTGTTGACAATGCGGTAGTCATTCATAAATACCTAAATTTTACTGTGCACGAACTTGTGTGCGTGTTAATGATCGCGCGTAAAATAAATGAATTGTGTATAAATCACGCACTTTTTGAGATAAGTTCAAATGATTGTAATTAATTACTTAAGAGTGATTTTAAATGTTTATCATATTTTATATAACCTTATTTATGTCTAGAATTTAATAAAAAAAATGGATACACTTAGAAAAGCCACCCTGTATAATATGTCCCACTGCTGAGCAAACGATTCTTCTGTACAGAGGGGGCTAGGGCATAATTCACCACGCGACCTCACATATCTTATCAGAGTTCACATGTCTTCAAGATTTTTTTTATTATATCAAAAATGTGCAAGGTTGCTCACAATGATTCCCGCTGAACACGTATTATGTTTGCAGGTAAAATTTCAATTAACGATTACATTGATTTGTTCTCTGTGAGCTCGTTATTATTGTAGCGATACACTACTAATACACAGTAAAAAAGAGGTAGAAAACATTTCAACGTTTTCTATCTCTTCTTTATAACATACGGTATTTTATCTTTTAACAGCGTTTTCTTTTTTTTTTGACATCTTTCTGTGCACCTACCGATTCTTCACTGTACCACCCTAAGGTTTACTGGGAGATAATGCCTTTGGCATTAAGTCCGCCTATGTACAATTTGTGCATAAAGTATAAACAAATAAATAAACATTTGTAATGCAAAATTAACATGGGTACTCTCTAAGTGTGAAAATACGTAAACAGCAGTCACTCTGGAAACTATCGATCCTAACGAAACAAATGTAATTTGGCGTTTAAAATAGTTAATACAGTCGGATCCAGCGTTACTTACGAACCTTATTACGAACGCAGCCAAACTCACCGTCTGTTCGGTATGTACACCATGGCCTCTGGGTGGTGGAGGTAGTAGTCAGTGGGGTAGTCCCACAGAGCGGGTCTACCGGCGTCCGGAACGAACAGCCCCAGGAAGAGATTCATCGTGTTCTGCTTCTCGGCGTCGGAGAACGTGTTCGAGTAGTAACGGCTCAGCGTCTGCATTATGTCGTTACCGTGCGACGACCACGGGGCCGTTTTCCTGTAGGTTTTTATTCTGGAAGAATAAAAAGGCTATTTGGAAAAGAAATCATCAAGAAATATTAACTAATAAATTGGTCGGCGTTTTTATGTGAGTAGGTGGCAAAATGAACTGGCGGTTTTTACGCTTAAACGTGGCCAATTTTTTTCAAGTTACTATTTTTTTTTTTTAATAAGTAGGTGGCAAACGAGCTGGCGGTTCACCTGATATAACTAACCTGATGTAACTAATATTTGCAACACCCGTAAGGTTGCGTCCTTTTAAATTAAAAGTTTTTATAAGTGAGGTAACAGGTCTCCTGTTACCTCACTCACTCACACCAGATGAAACGTAGTAGTTTAACACTCCCACTTGATGACGGTTTCTTGTGAGGTTGTGGTACTTCCCCGGACAGACCTGTCCATTATTGCAACTGCGAATACTACCACTCCTTCGTATGTATTTAGGGTTCCGCACCCAAAGGGTAAAACGGGATCCTATTACTAAGACTCCGCTGTCTGTTTGTGTATCCGTCCGACTGTCACCAATTGAAGTTTTCACAGATGATGTATTTCTGTTGCCGTTATAACAACAAATACTAAAAACAGAATAAAAAATATTTAAGTGGGGCTCCTATATAACTGACATGAATTTTTTTGCCGGTACGGAGCCCTTCGTGTATAACGTGTATAAGATGAAACGTCTCAACATCTGTTCAGCTAAAAAGTGAATCTGACCACATGGGCGAAATTAATTTGATGATATTTTTATTTTTATTGTAACATTTTTCTTAAAGTTAATACAGACCTGTGGACTAGCTGCGAGCCACCATATTGAAGCGCGAGTGTGTCTCCATGGTCTTCGTACAATCCCTCGAGCAGTCTGACACAGTCCGAATCAAATTCTATCACTGGCTCCCCGATAAGACCCAAAGCATATAGCTGAAAATTAATTTATAAACATAAATCAACCCACCTCTACTGAATTATTCATTGAGGAGAAATTTGTTCAGTGTTATTTTATATAACTCATCATATTATTAAATAACTCAACTTTTATACAGGTCAAATCAATAACAATATTCGGATATTACGTAAAATCTTAATTGCTGAATACACAAAATGTATGTCTTTCTAAAAAAAATTGCGTTTGTTTTGAGAAAATTCAAAATATAACACAATTATATTCATTTATTACGAAGTGCTTTCATTGATAATACATAACTGTCTATTATCGAAATGATTTCAAAAGAATAATCTTAGAGTTGTCTGAATAGTACGGATTATATCTATAATTTTACTGGTACATTTAAATTATAATGACGTCGGAATTTCGGAATAAAAAGTATAATGAAAACAAACTTGTTCAATAGCATTGTCGTGAACGATTACCAAGCCAATAACATCGGCTAGTTTTTGAGCTTTGTGGAATTTAAGTTTATATCTATAACGATACTAGCGGACCTGACACACGTTGTCCTGTACACCCGACTTCAATCCGACAACTAAAAAAAAAAAACAAAAAAAAAACCTAATTGTGAATCTAAACCATTCTCGAATCGAACTGAAGGCACAAAAAATTTCATTAAAATCGGTCCAACCGTTTAAGAGTTCAGTGAATACACAAGTACAGAAGAATTTTATATATAAAGATATGTCCACTGTTTGCTTGTAAAATAAAGGCCCACCACACACCGGGTGCACCGGCATACCTGGTGTGCCAGCACGCATTTGCCGATGGCGAACTGCGCCGTGTTGGTTCTGTCCAGACAGTCTACGCAGTTGACGCGCACCAGGCCGGTCTGCAGCCGGCCGCCCTGGTGGCCAGGCACCCCAGCCTCCTCGTCGTACCCCTTCGAGCTGAGGAAAATGCCCGTGCGGCGCACCACCGTGCGGGCTATCGCGGACAATCTAAAAGTTCCCGTGCCTTTTGGTGAGAGCGCCTTATTTATTACACCTCTCTCACCTTTTTCAAAGGCACACAAAAAGGTAAGGTGTTCTCAATTCGGCTGTCTTTTATCTACCTTTGCTACCTCGGAACTCGGTCATTTTATGAACCGATTTTAAAATTTATTTTGCTTTGGGTTCGATTTAGACCCCATGTGGTCCTTACACATTTCATTGGTGTTGGACCTTGAATTTAGGAGATACCCTGATCTATCTCTAAATCTCAAAATCAAAAAGAAAATGCATTTAGATATTTAATAATACTGAAATATTGAAGGCACAAAGTAAAGAAATAGCAAGACGTAAAAATGTTACGATCGATTGGCATAGTTGTCAATCGCATGTTCGGACAAAGAATTAAATATGTATTTATTTCATTTAAATAGAAATAAATGTTTTTAACTACAACATTTACATGGTAAATAAATTAAAAATAAGCTTAAAATATCCGTTCGTTTGTACTTCGTCCAGTTACTGGAATGTAATACCGTCGGCCCCTTGAACGTCGTTTTGCCCGATTCCATTGTACAATCTTTTCATCATCGTGATACATACAAGTGTAAAAAATAATGTAATAATAAAAGATAATTTTGACTCACTTATCTAGGACTTTAGCGTCAGCGCCCTTGTTCATTCGGGCCATGTCCAGGTGGAAGTACTGTATGGCATGCTCGGGAGACAAGAACTGATTGAGGTACTTCACTGCATTGCTTATCGCGTCAGTCAGCAGAGATTCGTGTTTTTTTTTCTCTCTCTTTTTGACCAGATTCAGAATCATGATAGGCGAACCGTATCTCCTCATCAGGTTATTGAAATGTTTCGCCGGTATCTCAGCGTACGGGTCGCCGAGGTCTATAGATATGGCGGGCTTGGGTACCATCTTTGATATGTCTTGCGACCAATAACTGGGGATGGAGCCTCTCATCTGGACGAATGAGCTGAATCTGCAATGAGTTTTCAAAGTCTACATACTACATAGCTACGAACAATATACATAGGTGTTTATTCAATATAGGCTTATTTAAATATCTAATTTAATGTTAGACAACCAGAGGAAAAACCAGCAAGAAAATATTATTTGTAATGTTTTATGACATTACATTATAAAAAAATTAAACTTACCGACCAGCAGCAAATGAAGATAACATTGAATCATGGACAATCTGTTCGGTTTCTACTTCATTAGCAACATCTCCATGTAGGTTCGCCCCTCTTTTTAAAAATCTAGTGCCAGCATATCTATTGCTTCTTCTAGCAATAAGGGTTAGGTAAATTGGTCGACCAAATATATTTAAGTTACTTTGCTCTATAAAACCATGCACTATGTACAGTATCCAGTCTGGGTGCAAATAAGAGTGCACTGCTGAGAGTAGATGGCTGTTCCATACAAATCTCCACTCTGGGACTGTTCTTATGCCAAACTCTAATTTGGGGCTTTGTTCCCTTGAATGGACAAAGTTACATTTAAATTTGATAACACATTTAGTTTATCTTAACTTTATCATAATATAATGTTAATGAAGCTCTAGATATTAGTTATTAAATATAATGTTAAATAAAACAGGGTTCTAAACGCTGTACTAGCATATAATTCTTAGATCAGAATAATCATCTTAATGATCAGAATAATCAATTCAAAGAGTTTAACCATCCTTTTTGCAACAAAAATGAAATTTGAAAAGCGATTTGATAGCTGATTAGATAACATCGCGATGTTCAGTGTTTCAGAAACTGGGCGTTAGTGAGGCTGTTAATGTTAGAATTGACAATTAAAGTGTGGAGTATGATACAGATTTTTGACTCTTTAGAAGTTGATAAATATGATAAAAATTAATTGTATTGCATTTTTAGACAAATTTATGTGTACAAAACTTTTCTTTCTATTACATTTACGATTATAATAAAATATGTACCCAGTTTTCTCTTGCCTTTGTTGTAGTTGCTGCTTCCATGTTTCAAAAATATCTTCATCATCATCATCATCAGTATTTTGACAAATGCACGTACCCTCTTCACTATTTTCAGAATTCAGATTTGAGTGATATACGGCAGCTGTTATGGGTTTGGGAAACAATGCTGGTGCTAATTTTCTGGGAGGAGCCATGTTCATTTGTAATGTGTGTGTAATATCGTAGCTATAACTATAATAAAAATTGGTAGACAAATCTATTGCCAAAAACATTTTTAAATATCTTTGCTCATCTGGGTGTAAAGGTTTACTGTTATCACTAGGTATGTATATTGTAGCTGTATCTTCTATTTTATAAATGGAATGTGGGCCAATCACGGCAATTTTTCTTCTTTTAGTTACTAAAATAATGTAGTATCCTTCTAAAAACCGAATAAATCCTGTAAAAAATTAAGATTACTGTAGTTTTATCATTTGTTACTAATACTATAAACTAATTACTGCATGTATATTTGAAATAATTATTTAAGATGTCTATTTTGATAATAACATGCTTACCAACAATTCCAAAGGCAGAAACAAGTTTATTGAAACCTGGTGACCTACTACTTCTATTACCAAATCCTATCATGTTTAGTAATTGGTGTATTTCTTGCTTATTATACTCCACTTTGTCATCTACTAATATCAATTCTTTTGGATCTGTCCTATCAATTTTTAGGACACGAAATCTAGTCTGTGTGTTATTTGAGCCAATAAGGTAAAATCGCTGGAAAGAAACATATATAAAGAACAATTAAGTACATTTTAATCATCCAGAAGCATTAATTTTTGATTTTAAAATAATAAAATACTCACCGCTTTAGTTTCATAAAGCGCTATTCGTTGAATAGAACTTATAATGGGGTGGAACACAATATTTCGTTTAGACATATTTTAGTATTAAATGATATTACTATAGTTTTTATTCTTACGAATTAATAATAAATATTGCAATCAATTGCAATAAATAAGTTTAACCATAACTATAACCATAAATTAATAACAAAACAAAAACACAACACTGAACAATCACTGAAAAATTGAATAAGATACGAATAACGAAATACAAAATTACAAATTGACATAACATGTCAAATATATCTCTCCTGTCAGAAGGGTGCCAATAAACGCAGCACCATTCTTCATCATAATGAATAATTCTATAAGATGAAGAATGTTGTATTTTAGTTGACGAGAAAAACAAAATTACTTGAAACAAGTCCATTTTTTTATTAACGAAAAACAAAACCGACTTCCGATCAAAAAAAACTTCCAATATCTCGCTCTGTTTTCATTTTATAATTGATTTTCAGGAGTTCCTAACGTGTCTCCGGAGCCCAAGATCCAATTACAATAAAATTAATATGGGACCACATGGGAAGCACCAGCTTTCAAATATAAAAAGAATCATCAAAATCGGTTCACTCAGTCGAAAGTTCTGAGGTAACCAACATAAAAAAAATACAGTCGAATAGAGAACCTCCTTTTTTCTTTGAAGTCGGTTGGAAATAAGCAACTATTCTGTAATGTTAATCCAACAACTGAATATTACTATTTCATATTGTTATCTGATTTTGTTATAAGATTTTATGACAATGGTAGAAGTTGGAACTAGATTGCTGTAAGGTACAGTTTCATTTTTTCGTTTTATGTGAGAAGGTGGCAAGCGAACTGACGGTTCACCTGATGTAAAGTAGGACTGCAGATGCATTGTCACCTTTTAATAAATTGGGCCCTAGCTACCTCACTCACCTGACGAAACGCAGAAGTATAACGCTACCACTTCACACTGTTCTTCTGTGAGCCTCGTGAGGTCGTGGTACTTACCCGGACGCCGACATCTTATCTATTTTTTTTAATGCTTTTCTGTAATGCCTGTCGTCAACTAATGTGCTTCCATTACGGCAATTGACATTTTTACAATGACTTTTTGAGAACTGATGTCACCTTGCTATAATTTTAATTTTATTGCTAGTCTCTGCACTTTGATGAAACCTAAGATATGTGGATAAATTGTTATCGGAAGATGCCGTTCCTTGCTGTAAAAAATCTTAACAGATGTTAGTACCCTTTTTTAAATTATTCAATCTATCTTCAATCTATCTTGTAATATGTCCGGCCCATTTCCACTTAAGACTCGGAGAAAAGTGTAAGGCATCATATTAATATACATATGGGAGTATATGTTTTCCTACCCATTTGTGAGTTTTTGTCTTTTAGTTTGAATCCCAAACAGCTTCTCTCCATTGTTTTCTGGTTGGTTTGAAGTTTAGCTTTGGCTTTTTGGTCAAATGTCCAATCTGGCAACTGTTATTTACAGGCATGGTAGTATAGCACCCAGAAAGCTATCAGGTACTATAGTACCAAGAAAATAAAATTATGTAAACCGCCACTAGGAAACCATGGTACCTACGCGACATAGTGTAAACAAATTTCGTATATAATCAACTAGCGCGATTTGATTATAAAAATAGCTTCATAGAGACCTTCTTTAGGAAATTAATCAACGAAATAAATTTATCTGGACACAACTTTCAAGCAGAACGCCAATAAAAAAATTTAGAAAGTTTATTACTGTAAGTGCGTTACGTGTGAAGTGATTGCTGACTTAATAAAATATGTCGTAAGTAGATATCTATATAGGGAGATTTTTTGAGAAGTGCCCAAATTTACACAGGAGGTTCATACTCGGTAGTATAATCGTTTATTGAAATAAATAAAAAAATGCCATTCTATTCCCTAAAGAACAGAACGTGTTGACAATGCGATAGTCATTCATAAATACCTACTTGTGTACGAACTTGTGTGCGTGTTAGTTATGAATGATCGCGCGTAAAATAAAAGAGTTGCGTATAAATCACGCACTTTTTGAGATAAGTTCAAATAAATGTAGTCAATTTCTTACGAGTGATTTTAAATATTTATCATTTTTTATGTCTAGAGTCTAATAAAAAAAATGGATACACTTAGAAATGCCACCCTGTATACTATTATACATATAAATGATCGTGAAGAATAATGCTACAATATTTTTAATTAAGTAGTTTTAGCATTCAAAAGTTGTAATATTTCGCCTCAGAAAAAGTTATTGTTTGCGATGGGAACAATGGCTGCCGGTTGATATGTCAAATATAACGAAATGTGTGTCTTTTTCGACCCAAAACTGTGTGAAAATGAAAGAATAGTTCACAATTAGTATATCAATATACTTTTTTTATATAAATTCAAGTGTTTTCGATAAGAATCTATTACTTGAACAATTGTCTTCAATACTGGGCGCCTGCTGTTGTCAATGGACTTTGACAACAGCGGCGGATATCATGAAAACATCGCTCGCGGGTTGTCATGGTGTCCGCCATAGTTACTCATAGTTACTTATATAATAAGGGTTTGTACGGATTACTAAACGACCTAAATTTCATTAAATTAAATTGTGGTGTGTAAACATTAATTTAAGTGAAAGAAACGTCGAAGAAATTTGCGTGCGTAGTTGTGCAAGAGGACGAGGAAGAGGACGTGATGGTGCCGAGACCTTTGAAGAGTATTTATCTTGTTTTATCATTATTCTTATTTATTTATTTTTTTATGTCAGAAGGTAGCAAAGGAGCTGGCGGTCCGCTGGTGATGTTGAGTAAACACCGCCGCCCATAGACATTTGAAACACCCGCGGGATCGCAGATGCGTTGCCACCACGCGTGTAAAATAAAGTGGGCCCCGGCTCACTCACTATGCGAAACCCAAAAGTATTACACTTCCACACCCACTTCACGCAAGTCTTCTGTGAGGTCGCGGCACATCCCAACGGATCTGACCATTCCTACAACTGTGAAGACAGTTGCGTGGCCGTACCACAGTAAAAACTTATAGACGTAACATATTTATGATTTTTTTTTATTTCAGTAATAGGTTAAGTCATATCCGTGCTGAAAGGCAAATAGCACAGCGCAGGGTTGCGGCGTTGTCGCCTTCCGTCAAGAAAGAGCTGCTGCAGAAAAAAAATATTAATTATAATTATTATTGTTATTAATTTTAAGTTCAAAATATCTAAAAATAACTTATAAAAAGTGAAATTTTGTAAGTAGCCATTAAAAATTACTCTGAAAAATATGTTGTTTAATTTTCCAACTTCGTTTGAATGAGACCTTAAATGGATGTCAGTATCACTAACTACGCATGTAAGGTCGCATCTTATCTAGCGGGGAGTAGCTCATAACTTCTAAGTTTTTCTTCATGATTGTAAATAATTCTGGTATTGTTGGAAAAGATATTTAATCTAGTCTATTTTAGTATTGTTAAAGGGGATGTAAAGTTAAAGGGTTTTAATGAAATAAATGTTTTATTAAGATATCAGTTTTCATCATAGTTTTTCAAGTTTTATATATTTTTTATAGTTGCAAATTAAATTTATAACTCTTGATTTTTATTTAAGTTATTGCTTAGTTATTCAGCTTATTAACTGTGATTCGTTTTTTGGGATATTATTTGTAGTTTACGAACGGCAAGCGTTTTTATCGCCAAAGTCGGAAGCGGTAGAATGACATTTTATTTCTCGCGCTGACGCTCGCGTCAGACACCGATTTGACAACGCGTGGCGCTGGCGTGCCAGTGGATAGGGACCTCGTTTTTTTTGTTTTCATAGGTAAATCCGATTTTAATATTTTTTATGAACTCAAAGCTCTGTAAAATGTTTTTGTTAAATATGTCCTTCTATTTATATCGCCCTTTTATTTCTAATCTAAACGAGATTTGCTTTCCAAGATACGTATATATAATTCTGTACATATTCAAGAGATTTATTCACTGAGATGGGTGTTTGGTTCATAATCGAGTTCAGTTATGTTTCGAGTCTTCTGAGTATAAGAATACCACCTAAATAATAATATAATAATATTTTCGAACCAATTTACCCAACGTTCTCCCAAACTAAGCAGCGCTTGTACAGGGTACTAGAAAACGGATAAAAATACTTTTCTTTTGCAAATAAACATATATTATAGATATATAAACACCGGGACAGTAGAAAAGAACACTATTATTATGGGGGGATATTCATTTGTTTTCTCGTCTGGTTGGGTTTATAAATAAAAATAAAAATAAAGATATAGATATATATTGCATATATAAAATAAATATTATGGATAAAAAACATAATATATATATAAATATATATATATATATATATATATATATATATATATATATATATATATATATATATATATATATATATATATATTTTTTATATAATACATATATAAATAGGACCCAACCAGACGGAAGCCCTCGGCAGGGGAGACCAAACGGCCGAGGGTTAGGGCGAAAGGGAGAGAAACCGGCGGACGATGCGGGCGGTATCGAGGAGCACCGCCTTCTGCATTTGAGCCTGGAGCGATCCGTCCCGGAGTCCCAGTCGCCTCAGATGTTTAGAGAGGCTGACTGGGATCAACCCATTCGCCCGATAGTCGTGTCTACGACTATCGGGATAATTTCGGTCGGCACACCACCCCACATGTCGGTCACCTCGTGAACCAGGTCCAGATACTTCGTCTTCTTATCTGTTTCGGCTTTCAAGAGGTTCTCGTCATATGGAATGGTAATGTCGACCAAAAATACCCGCAACTGTGCCCGGTCCATCAACACGATATCAGGTTTATTCGCGACAATCGTCCTGTCCGTAATGATGGACCGGTCCCAATAGAGCCTGGCGCGGTCATTTTCGAGCACGGCCTCCGGAGAGTACTTATAATACGGCAGTTTCCGTTCCACGAGGCCGTATTTCAGAGCGAGCTCCTGGTGTAGGATTCTGGCTACTAGGTTGTGTCTATGCAGATACACAGAGTTAGAAAGCATGGAACAACCGGAGATAACATGCCGAAGCGACTCCCCGGGAT